CCTTTTGCTCTCCGCGTATCCTGTGAACCATGGGCGTCACTTGGATAAGTTATCGCAAGAAGATGGAGCTAGAAACCATCCTAGGCGAGTTCGAACTCGACCGAAGCGGCACGGTGGACGAACAACGCGCGCGGCTTATAGCATTTGCGCGGCAGCCCAACAATTCCAAGGAAATCCAGGATCGGCTCGACGAGCTGGAGCGCCGGTTCGGGAACGCACCCACCGGCGACGTCAAGTCGCCGATACCGTTGGATCCGTCCCTCATCTCTCCGGAACCGACCACGTCGGCATCGCTGGTGCCACCCTCACTCCTTTTACCACGCAGTACGTCACCCTCTACAGGGCGACGCTCGAAGGCGGAAGAGCCTGCGCGATCTGCGCACTCCCCGAGTGAAGCCGGCTTGGGAGCAATCCTAATCGATCGGATGACCAAGTGGGGCCTTTCGTTCGATGGAACGACGGATCCTCTGGGATTCATAGAGCACATCGAGGAGCGTGCCGATACCTGCCGGATCGACCGGAGATATCTGGCCCAAGCCCTGGTGGTGCTGCTGGCCGGCCGAGCCGAAAGTTGGTTCCGCACGAGCGGACTCCAACAAGCCAGCTGGACCGAGGTCCGCCGGGAGTTCCTTGACTTCTTCCTGCCACCGCGATACTATCAGCGGTTGGAGGATGACATAAGGATGCATTTCCAGAAGCCCAACGAACCATTTAAGGAGTACCTTATCGACATCCGTTTGCAGATGCGCCGGGCCGGATTCTCCTCTGACAAGGAGCTGGAGAGGATCTATGAGAATATGCTGCCGGAGTATCAACTCTACACCCGGAGGCAGGATTTCCGTACGCTGACCGAGCTAACGCACCTCGTGACCAATTACGAGGAGACACGCAGCCGAGGCGGAAGAGCGCTCGAGAACCGGATCCAGACTCAACGCCAGGCCACAGGAGCCAGCTACGCAGCAGACGGGGACAGGATGCCCACTCGACGCACACAACAGGCGCCCTCTTCAGGCAACGCCCTCAACGGTTCCCTTAGCCGGAACGCTTGCACCAGCCAGAGCGCGGTGACACCCCGACCAGAAGCCGTCAACGTTCGCGACGCTTGCCGGAATTGTGGCCAATCCGGGCACTTCGAAGCCGAGTGCAGGAATCCACGGATCCTATTCTGTTGGGATTGCGGTCAACGAGGACGCAGGACGGTTGACTGTTGCCGACAGCCACCGTCGGGAAACGGGCAAGGGCCTCGTGTGACCGGGAATCACCCGAGGAACCCTCCGTATCCCCGAAGTCAATAGGAGACACTCTCCATCAGTACCAGGGACGCATCCGCGCTACCATCCACATGGAGGGGCAGCGGTTCACAGCTACCCTGGACACCGGAGCCACCCATAGCTTCATTAGCGAAGGGCTGGCTCAAATGCTGGACAACGGAAGGAACACACGGGACATCCGTACCCAGGTAAAACTCGCCGACGGAACATGCCGCGAGCTGACCAGAGCTCTGGCGGCAAATATCTACCTTGGGAGTGAACGGACGCCCACCATTCTCCTCGTGATGTCGGACGCACTGGACGACATACTCCTAGGAATGGATTTCCTCTGCGGGATCGGAGCAACTCTGCTCTGCGGCGGGCAGACCCTCCGCCTCCAACCGAACGACCAGCGAAGACCAACAACAGAGCCACGCTCTGACCAGCGGAGATCAACGACAGAGCCACGCTCTGACCAGCGAAGGGAGTCACACTCCAACCTCGACGAAGAGCCACCAATGGCCCACCATGCAGAGCCACGCTCTGAGCAGCGAAGCACGGCACCGGAGTCACACTCCACTCATGCCGAGAAGCCATCGACGACAGCCCAAGGAGAGCCACGCTCTACCTTACCCCGAGCCTTGGGTGAATGAGTTTCTGGACCAGGAACTGGCGAAATTTGATACTCTTTCAGGGGTATCACACATCGCCGAGCATCGCATCTTCATGCGCACGGATCGACCCCTTAAACAGCGGTACTTTCCTAGGAATCCGGCCATGAGGGCCGTCATTGACAAGCAGATCAATGAACTCCTCCGAGACGGACGCATTGAACCATCGAAAAGCCCACACAGCGCGCCCATCGTAATCGCGGCCAAGAAGAATGGCGAAGTCCGCATGTGCGTGGATTACCGCCAGCTCAATGAGAACTCCGTGCCGGACGCGTATCCGCTTCCGAGGATCCATCAGATCTTGGAGCGACTCCGGAACGCGAAATTCATCTCGACGTTGGACCTCAAAAATGGGTATTGGCAAATCCCAGTGGCCCCGGACAGCCGGGAGTGCACGGCGTTTACCGTTCCCGGAAGAGGGTTTCATTGGAGAGTCATGCCCTTCGGACTCCACTCCGCGCCCGCCACGTTTCAACGCGCCTTAGACACGGTCATCGGTCCAGATATGGAACCCCATGCGTTTGCATATCTGGATGACATCATTGTCATCGGCTCCACACTGGAGGAGCATGTCGCCAACCTTGGAGAAGTTTTCAGACGCCTCCGCCGCGCAAACCTGCGCCTCAACAGAGGGAAATGTCATTTCTTCCAGCGCCGCATCGTGTACCTGGGGCACGTGATCAGCGAAGCCGGAATCCACACGGATCCGGACAAGGTCGCTGCGATCCGCGGACTCGCGCCGCCGACAAACCTGAAGGAGCTACGCAGATGCCTAGGAATCGCTTCCTGGTACCGCCGCTTCGTGCCGAACTTCGCCGATGTTGTGGCACCCATGACATCGCTGCTGAAGAAGGGCCACAAGTGGGAATGGACCCAAAGACAAGACCAGGCCTTCCAGGAGCTGAAGACGCTGCTAACCGAAGCCCCTATTCTGGCCTGCCCAGATTTTGCGGAGAAGTTTGTGCTACAAACTGACGCCAGTGATTACGGAATCGGAGCCGTACTCACGCAGACCATCGATGGAAACGAGAGGGTGATAGCGTACGCCAGCCGCCGGCTCAACACGGCTGAGAGGAACTACTCAGTGACTGAGAAGGAGTGTCTCGCCATCGTCTGGGCGATTCGGAAGATGCGGTGTTACATCGAGGGATACCGTTTCGAAGTCCTCACAGACCACCACTCCTTGAAGTGGTTGAACTCCATCGACAATCCAACAGGCAGGATTGCTCGTTGGGCACTGGAATTACAGCAGTATCAATACGACGTCCATTACCGGAAGGGGGCCCAGAACTTAGTGGCCGATGCCCTTTCTCGCCAACCGCTGCCCATAGTGCAGCAAGCGGAGGTACAAGGAGTCAACTGTAAGTGGATCACGAGGATGCTCCAGAGGATTCGAACTGAACCAGCGAAGTTTCCGGATTATCGAGAGGAGAATGGCCAGCTATATCGCCGCCTGGGACTCCGGCCGGAGGAGGAGGAGTACACGCCCTGGAAGCTGTGCGTAGGGGCAGACTATCGCCAGCGAGTACTCGAAGAGTGCCACGATCACCCCACTGCCGGTCATCTAGGAGTCCGGAAAACCAGCACTCGCGTGGCCCAGCGCTATTACTGGCCTGGATTGTTCCGAGAGGTGGCTCGGTACGTTCGCCGTTGCCCCACTTGCCAGCGGTATAAGGTGAGCCAGGAAAAGCCCGCAGGTCAAATGTTCACTCGACAGGTCGAGGAGCCGTTCCACATCCTTTGTGCAGATTTCGTCGGCCCACTGCCGCGGTCGAAACAAGGCAACACGATGCTGCTAGTATTTCTGGACGCTTTCAGCAAGTGGGTGGAACTAGTGCCGCTTCGCAAAGCTACCGCCACATATCTGGAACGAGCCTTCAGAGAGCGGATATTGAGCCGATTCGGTGTTCCCCGGACATTTGTCTGCGACAATGGTACGCAGTTCACCGGCCGCTCATTCCAGAAGTTCTGCCAGTCGCTAGGAATGGAGCTGCAGCACACGGCGCCCTACACCCCCAAAACAGAATCCAACGGAACGGGCAAATCGGACGATCAAGACGATGATCGCCCAATACTTAGATGGAGGCCAACAAAACGAGTGGGATCAACTCCTCCCGGAGATATCTTTGGCCATAAATAGTAGTGTCTCGGACACTACTGGATTCAGCCCCGCATTCTTGGTACAAGGCCGAGAACCGCGACTCCCGAGGACGCTGTACGACGAAGTTACCCCCGGACGGGGCACCCCAGAGACTTCCCCGACAGAGCGAAGCGAACAACTCCGGAACATCTTCGACGTCGTCCGGAACAACGCTGATCGCGCCGCCGCCGAGCAGAGCCGTCATTACAACCTGCGCCGGAGGACATGGAGACCACCAGTTGGATCCATGGTACTGGTACGCCGACACGCCTTATCCAACGCAGCCGAGGGCTTTGCCGCAAAGCTAGCTCCGAAATACGAAGGACCCTTCAGGGTAGCGAAGTTCCCATCGCCGAACATCGTGCAACTGCACATGCCCGGAAGCCGACGCCGGCGGACCGCCAGCCTGAACCAACTGAAGCCGTACCACCACGAGGATGAGGCAGACACCGAAGCCGGAGCCCACCGGGAAGACGCCGACGCCGGAGATGCCACAATCGAGGACGCCGACGACACCATTCTGGACGCACAGCCAGCTACCAAGACCACACGACGCAGGGGACCCATCCCGCGCCGACAACACTAGCGACGAGCACCCATGTAGGGAGGACGACCATGTTTCACAGGGGCCACTTGTTGACAGGCGCGCCTGTCCAACGTCCCGAACCCCCTAGTGGGGTGAACATGCGTCTCTTCCCCAAAAGGCCGTAGCCATAGCCAGTCAACCCTAGCCCACTCCATTAGGTAGGGCCCAGGGAAACACACTAATACACCTCTCCTCTGTCCTTACAGCAACAGTCTCCAGCACGCCTACCGAGAGGCGTAACGAACCACGCACCCGCAGGCAACGCCCACCTGACCACCGGCATCTCTACAGAGCCACGACCGCGTCTTCTCCAGACCGCCGTCCCCCCACAAAAAACGTCGACCAACCAGAGAATGGACGGACAGGGCCATCCATCGCAGGACTACTCCTGGATGTGCGTTGCAGTTGAGGAGATCCTGCAAGCACTCCAAGGCGCCGGGCCAAGCCCGCCGCGTCCCCACAACAGCTCCGTCGCCAACAACGCCGGCCTCTTCCCACGAGCCCCAACCGCCGACGTCACCAGCGCCAACGGGGAGGCGACGACCGCCGACAACCACGCCGAGCCCCGGCGACCCCCTACAGAGGAGATGCCGCTTCTGTTCGCCGGCCTCGTTGGGCCACGCCGGGTCCCTCCGGAAGTTGTCCTCAGCGACGATGACGAGGAGGAGACCCACCAGCTCGGCGTCGCTGGGCCCCAACCAGCATCCTTAAGGGGCATGCCGCCCCAGGCACCCCTGCGTACCGGCCACATCGGGCCGCTGGCGCCCCTCCGGAAGTTGCCCCGCTCGACGGCAAGGACGAGGAGGAGGTGCCACGAGACCACCGTTTTGGACCCCTGCGGGTCAACCTCACGCCGCCCCGGCCACGCGATACCTCACCCGGAGATCGGGCACCCTCCGCCGACGCCGAGGAAGCGTGGAACCAGGCCATCGCCCTGTCCGACGATTGGGTCGATTTCGACGGCCTGGTGGAGGACACCCTTGGCGACCTTTTCAACAGCCCGCCGCACACGGAACCACCGGCAACAGGCGCGCTCGGGCCTCTGGGCGCAGTTTATGACCTGGTCTCCGACGACGAGGGCCGCCCGCGTGGGCACTACAACCCCACCGGCGACGACGGCGACGACAGCGACGCGACCGTATTATACGACCCCACCGCGGAGGACAGCCGGGACATACGAAGGAGGCGCACCCCACCGCCGCACCCGAGCGACAACCGGGCCCCGCCGTACATGGGCGAGGTGGAAGCCGCCCTGGTAGAGTGTTTCGGGGAAATGCCCGGGGACGACTTCAACTGGGGAAGCGGCACGAACACGGCGTCGACAATCTCGGCCGACGAGGACGAGGAGGGCCGCCCGTCAGACGCCTCGCGACCACCTTACGCCGGGCCCGCCGAGGACGCCTCATCGTCGACAGTCTCGGCCGACGAGGGCGAGGCCAGTCAGGACAGCGACTGGTCCTACGCCCCACGATCGCCGCCCCCGCGATGGACTCCACCCGCTGCAAAGCTGGGCACCAGCCGCTCCAAGTCGCCGCCGACCCCCTCCGCCCTCCTACGAGGAGATTTTCGGCCGGGGATCGTACCCCGATCCGCACGCTGCCGCCCGATGCGCAGCGGTGGCCGCCAGTCACGATCCGCGACCCCGCCTGCCCACCGGCGCGGAGCTGGCCGCAGAAGAGGCGCGCCGCAGGGCAGAAGACCTTAGTGAGGAGCTCGGCAACCCACCGGTTACCCAACCGCCGGCAAGTGGCCCACCACCCTCACCGACCCCACGCCGCAGAGCACGGCGCAGGAGCGCCCCATGGGCAGACAGCCCATCTAGCTCATCTGACGAATCATCGTTGGACGCCGACGAGGGAGTCCCCCACCCGCCCCGTTGGGTGCCGGCACCAGTGGAATGGACCACTCCAAACGGCACATTACCGGCAGCTCTACTCCGCCGAATCCACGGGCGCCTGGCGACACCGCGGAGACGAACAATCCGGATCCTGGAGGAGGAGGGGAACCAGCGCTTCAGGGTCCAAATTAACCGAAGCGGGAGGGTGATCATCACTCTTCACCCCTCCCGAAGATAGGGTGGAATGTGACGATGTCACAATCCCCTATATGTAAATATTGTATATATTAGTTAAGGTCATAGTTAAGTTACCAAGTAAGTTAGGATTAGCCACACACCCACCCACACAACTGTACATTTAACGGGCATGAAGCCCACAGTTAATTTGCCCACGAAGGGCCAAATTAGATTTAGGCCGCAACGCACAGGCGTATACATTTTGTCAACGCGGACTGTAGCTACCGCGCTGCAGCCATTTCCCCTCTCCGCTGCCGACGCGAACAGCGGCAGAGGCAGCGACATTTCCCTCCAACGATCGTGCGTGTTTATGTTTTGGTCGTGCTTATTTACATGCCGATCAAAACATAAACAATAACAATAACAAAGCCGACGGCCGAAAGCAGCGCTGCCCGGACCTTTTTGGCAGAGACGAGGCGACAAGGGCTTTGCAAGCTGCGACCGCGATCACTTCTCTGGCGACAGCAAGCGTGAATAGTTGACCTCAGTCTCCGCGACTCGCAGTTATAAAACCCGACAGCTAAGTAGTACTAAGTGCAAAAGGACCCGCGTGTGTCAATTTACATCCTGGTTGCGAGCATCAGGTGAGCCGGCCGAGTGCCATGTAAGGGCAGGTCATTTGGAGTGTGGCGTAGGGCCAGGTTAGGGCCGATAGGCGTACATCAGAAAATGTGACCGTAATAATTAAGCCATAAAAATAAAGTAACCAAACATGAAGTCAGAAATTTCATCGTCTTTCTCTCTCGCACCCGCATAAAACTCCGCGTAGCCACAAAACAACCCTTATTTTGACGCGTGCCAAAATGTTCCCCTCTCGCTCACTCACTCGCCGAGCTGGTGGCTGGGTTTGACCGCACCAACTCCGCGTGGCCGCTGGGCAAGCTCCGGGCCGGAGAAGCGAGACGGGAGCGGGATTTGTCGCCGCTGGGTTCTCCCGGGCACAGATCTGGCGTGGGCATCGGGGCTGCTGGGTTTTCCCCGAGCTACGAGTTCATCGCCGCCGGCACGTGTTCACAGATTCCCCCTCTTCCCTCTCCGTTTCCCTTCCGATCTGCATCTTGCCCGCCATCGCCGCTGGGTTATCCCGGGCGGCGGAGATTTTGCCGATCGGAAGAGTCGCCGCTGCTGGGCAACCGGGTAGGCGCCGGAAACGGAGGAGCACCTGGCCATCGCCAGGGTGATCGCGCGTTCTAGGTTTCCCCTTCCCCTCTCCCTTCCCTTTCGATCTGCATTTTGCCCGCCATCGCCGCTGGATTATCCCGGGCGGCGGAGATTTTGCCGGTCGAAAGAGTCGCCGTTGCTGGGCAACCGAGCGAGCGCAGGAAAACGGAGGAGCACCTGGCCATCGCCAGGGTGACCGCCCAAGATTCCCATTTTCCCGAAGCCCGAGTTCCCCCCTTGTAAAACGAGCCCTTTTCGCTGCCATTTTGCCCCCTAGAAGATTCATTAAAAATTCGGCGTCCATGTTCTGACCGTCTCTAAAATATAAATATTTCTGGAGAGGAATCCTGGGCCGCTGAGGTTTACCCCGGCCCAAGACACATCCTTACAAATGTTATGCCGACGTTGTTTAGTATATGTTTCTGGGTACTTTATAAAATTTTTTTATAAAAAAATATTAAATATTAAAAATGTTATGGCCGAATTCCAAGGTCGTCTTTTTCTCGATGGTGGCTTGCGGTGGACATCATATCCCGAGAACGGTTCATCCGCAATCAAAAATTAAAAAAATTTTCGTTAGTATATTGTATTGCCTAGTCCTCTAGACCATGGATTTGTAAAACTGTTGATAAAAAAAAAAAATTCCGACAGTTTTAACAAAAAATTAACTTTTTCAAGGTATAAGATTTTCGATTTTTATGCTCTAAAAAAAATAGTTTTCAAAAAAAATTTAAAATTCTTCGTTGGAGGACTAGCTATTGTTATAACAAAAAGGTGGTCAAAATTTGGTGTTGATCGGATTAATAGGTTATTAGTAATCGTGTCCACCGCAAAGGTAACTTCGAAAAAAAACGATTCTGAGATAATCGCGTTTGAAGTTTCAAGTTTGTTCAAGCCGATGTGCAGGTCGTGCACTATAAATAGCTACAACTTCTGTTTTAATGCTCCGATCGTTATGAATTTTTGTGAGAATATTCTCAACAGTATACATATACTTAAAGAATATGAAATAAAAAAAAAGTAGATTCTTTTCTCATCACAACTGTATATAACCCCTTAATTAAGCACTGGCGTTAGAACGCACTCGAAAGCTTACCCGCAATAATCAAACCACAAGTTGAACTAGGCAATGTCAGTATTCACTTTGAGAAAAATGTGTTCAAGCCGATGTGCAGGTCGTGCACTATAAATAGCTACAACTTCTGTTTTAATGCTCCGATCGTTATGAATTTTTGTGAGAATATTCTCAACAGTATACATATACTTAAAGAATATGAAATAAAAAAAAAGTAGATTTTTTTATCATCACAACTGTATATAACCCCATAATTAAGCACTGGCGTTAGAACGCACTCGAAAGCTTACCCGCAATAATCAAACCACAAGTTGAACTAGGCAATGTCAGTATTCACTTTGAGAAAAATGTGACTTTTTGTCTTGATGCACGCGGATTAAATTTTTGCTTTACAGAGAAGTTGAACTGCACTCGATCACGCCATCCAGAGAACGAAAATGCTCAGATCAAGAGTGACCACAGCTACGATAATCCGTTTTAGGGGATTTTTACGGCATTTTACGAAAAGGAGTATCGATACTACTTTTAAGCAGGATCGATAGTTTGCTAATCTGGTTCGTTGCCAGGTTCGTAACCAGAGAGTTATGTATATTTCAGCGTTGCCAATCGGCTTGACTCCCACACCCTTCAAAGTCAGCTCTTTGATTGCGTGAGTGCGAAACTCAAAAGTGCGAGAAAGATTTTGTTTACTGGCGAGCGTGACAAATATATTGTGGTTTAAGCAATTTTCACTAAAATTATGGAAAAGAAAGGCAATTATATGTAGAATATTTGTATAAAAATAGACTTGGTCATGTTTGATAATGTGCTCTTTGTTTGCGTTTATTTGTGTTGTCCAAAAGTAGAAAAAAAAGCTAACCTGCTAACCCGTCTATTGTGGATTATAATAAATTTTGTGCCAACTTGTGCCAAAATATATCTATGTGTCATTAAAGTGAAAAGTGTAAATAAACTCATTTTATTAAGCTTTTTGCTTCATTTTGCCCCTATATATATAATTCCGCCATATTGTAATTGTGGTTTAGTTCGCCTATGAGCAACTGCTTGATGTCTATATAGAAAACAATCGGAGAGCATCTGCCGTAACACGTTGGATTTATGATGAACTGAAAGAATTCGGCTTATAGGGTCTTCCCACACACCGTCAAAGCGCATCCACCGTTCGTTGAACTGCCCATAAGGTTTTGCCGTTCCGAATTTTCTCAAATGGACCGCGGTTAGAACGCATTTAAATCTAACCACGGTTTGTTTGGCGATAGTTAGGCGATAGTTTTTCGGTGCAACTCTGATTTCATTTACTTCTTAAAAGTGAAAATTTGACCATTCACTACGAAAATGTAAACAAACTTGACGAGGAACAAATGAAATATGGAATTTAAAATGTGGCGCCAAAGCTAGAAACGTGCCCAAAATAGTTGTTGGTTTTTTTTTTTTTTGTATATTCTGGCCTCAAAGTGTCCCCACTTGCTACTATTTATTATAAACCGCCTACCACTAGCTCATTTTATAGATTTTGGCAGCCTATACCTCCTATACACACTATTCGGGGAATTTGCTCTATGTTGTGAGGAGGCTTCACAACCAGGGACAGTTTTGCAGTATTTAAGTTCATTTCAATTTTGTAGTATTTAAGCTCATTTCTTCTTAGCACGTAAGACCATATACATTTAGTATTAAGCATTAGAACATAAGCGACAAATACAAAGACCCACGAAGGGCACACTAACTAGGGACTTGGGAGTAGGGAGTTAAGAGAAACGCGCTCGATACTTAGATTTAAGAGAAAACAACGAAGAGACGACGAGCAGCCGAAGAACCACGAGCAGCCGAAGAACCACGAACAGCCGAAGAAACAACGAGCGGCCCAGAGCGGCCGAACACACACACGAGCAGCCGAAGCCGGCAGCCGACCGAGCCGAAGGACGGCCAGCCGAACCGCCTTCGGCGAAAACCCGAAGGCAAGGCCCGATCAGCCGAATCAATGGCGTCGGCACACACGAAGGGGACCGAGCAGCAGGATCGGCGGCCGAGGCAGACATGACACCAGCCGAAGCTCGCCCGAAGCTCACCCGAAGCTTCCCGAAGTCGGGAGCAAAACGACGCTACCGATCGCCGGCGGCCTATAAAAGGGCCTCGGCAAGCCGAGCCCGCTCTCTTCTCTCAGAATACCAGCAACAGACCAGACGTGCCACGGAGCTAAAAGGAATACCATTGGAATAAAACCACGCCGCCGGCCACGTGCCCAAAATGGAGTTGGAGTAAACTACTGGTGAGCTGGCCAAGGGCCAACCCCTGCTGGGTGGGGAACTCGGAGTGCGATAGGGAACAGCTAGGTTTAGGGAACAGCTAGGTTTGCCAACATTGTAAAATAAACTCTGGACGTATAAATGAACTCAACAGCGGAATATTATTTACACTCTCGGCGCCCCATTACTTCTGGAGAGCAAGGGCCACCGCACATGGCCAGCGTCGGCAACCCTTCGCTTTTCCTTCCTTAGAGGAGGGGCCGGTAACCCGGCGTGCGGGATCGGCCTTCTTCCTGGTTAGGCGTCCATCTTTCTCTCCCGAGGCGGCGAAGCGGTACTCGGCTTGCGGGACCGTCTCTCCCTTTTGGAGCCCTTTTCCCCGACACCCAGGACGACCGGCACATGGTTTTGCGTGGCTGGTGGCCCTCACCCAGATCCCGTTTGTTCGGGCATATCGGGGAAACTGGATCTCG